GAAAGGATATTAACAGATTAGAAGTGAGACAACGGATGATTTTCTCATCATTTTAGAGCTGTTTGGCTCAAACCAACATCCACACCAATGTTTTCAAAGGTAGCTGTTGATTTGGGGCATTTATTTTTGGGGCCCAGGCTGAGTGGCCACTTTTGAGACTGTGGCTGTAGAGCTCAATGATGTCATTGCAAAAAAGGCTGGGGGTCTGCTCTTATATCTCTGACCAGGATCTGAGATAAATTGTACGGTGAGAAAAGAAGCATGGGAAGAGACACAAGGGGTTCAGCCAGAGATCTGTGGATGCAGCAGTGTAACCCTCCCCTGGCCCCTATGATTTTGTTTCCTCAGCAAGGATAAATATTGTAAATGCCTTCTCATCAGTGCAACTCCCTTTCATCTCTCACCAAGCGCTCATTTACTCACTCAGCACTAATCCTAGGGTATCTCTGAGTTGGGGGAGCAGAGATAAGAGAATCCTGTGTTTAAGGTAGGCCAGCCTCTGAGACTGGGGATAATTATGGTTATTATCAAATATGGCACCAGGAATCAGACTCCTTCACACTGGAAGTGCACACACAGAGCAATCATAGAGCTATAAATTGGTATTTTTACCAAAGGAAATTGGGAGAAGCTAAGAGACACAAGGAAGGTGGGAGAGATGTGGGCAGAGTCAAAGGTGATAATATCACTTCACAACTGGATGCTGTTATGTTAGAGATTACAGAACAGGTGGGCACATGAACTACTGGGTCACAGAACTCCTGTTGACAGGCTGTCATTTCCCATGCTGCCAACAGGCAAAATTAACTCAGGAGTAAATTTCTTAGCAGTAAAGGTGAAACACAAAAGGATAAAACAGTATCCAGGCATCCAGATCCTGCTGTGTTGGGCTGCATGGATCCCACAAGGATAGGCAGCCCAGGGCCAACGGTGGTGGATGCTGTCAGAAAAACATTTACTGAATACATATAAAATCACCTAACCACAGGATGCCAAAATTGAATCCTACCTGGGCCTCCACTGGCATCTTGCCAAGACCTGGAGAGCTGTACCTAATTTACATGAAAGGCAGGCGGTTACAAATGTCCTTATCTTTAATTAGGAGGAAAGACCTGAGGAAAAATACAGATTCCAGTGTGCAAAATGCTCTGGCTACTCAGACCCAGATGGTGCATTGCATGTTGGGGCCTGAAATCTTTGCTGGTCACTAAACTGAGGGCCTTTATACTACCTGGTAGAACTCTCTAGGCTAGACCTTGTATTGACTTGAATTAATGATGCAGCAATAAGGATAAAGCATAAGCATAAAGAGGTGTGCTGATGAGGTTGAACTTGAGACCTAAGGAAGGAATGTGGGCTCGGACAGGAATGAAGATGGAGCCCTGAGAAGACAGAATGGGCTTAGAACCTCACAGCCTCTGCCAGGCCCAGACACTCCCTTTGGGAGGAGCTTCCTGCTAGGCTGAAAACTGTCAAGAATCTTTCTTTTGGGAGTCAGCAGAGGAGACATTTTTGTGTGGAGACAACAGGTTCTGGAGTGAGTTGCACCTAGAGCCCCCCTCACCATATCTGAAATGACCTTTATATAAATAACTCTGGCTTGAGCAGTGGGGACAGATAATGTGATCCTTAGCTAGGAAATGGGATCCTCACCACCCAGCCCAAAGGGAACGGGTGTAAAATCAACTCGAAGAAAACATCTTCCAGATGAGATCCAAAGCTAACACCACAGTCTCCTCTCACATCATTCCCTCCTGTTATCTCCCCCCTCCCTTTCACACCCTCCTTCTTTCTCTCTCCCTCTGACCATGTTCTGCAGCCAAGAAATAGCATGAGATGCATTTCCAGCACTGTATTACCAGCGGGCGGTCAGGGAGGGGGCAGCCAAGGGACAGCAGCACCATGGTGAGGATGTGCTGGATTTCCTGATCCAAGCCACGGTTTCTGGCTCCCCCTTCACCCTCAGCTCTGTTTCACAGGAATGGGGGTTGTTTGGAGATGGGATGTGCAAATGCATGCCCATGTGTGGGAGCCATTGACCCTACCTCCAAGCACAAGAGCTCCTCAAAGCATCCCTGAGACCAGCAGAAAATCTGCTGGTGCCTCAGCCACTCCATCCACAAGGGCAGAGCATGAATCTGTCAGTCCCTGGCTCCAGCACCCTCGGTTCTGGTGACTGACACATACACTGAATCTTCCAAACATGTTTCTACCACATGTTTTCACTCTGACCTCACATTCAGTGTTGCCTGGATCCCAAACTCTATGTGCATGTGCATCTTTAATCTGTCCTTTCTCACTATACAATGGTTACGTCTGGAGCTGATATCCTGAAAGTCTCCAGGATTCCAAATGTGAGCTCTCCATTCCTCCCACCCTCCGCAGTCACCTGTGTTGGGACTCGCCTTCCCTCTGCTCTCTCCTTCCCCACTCGTTGGTTATGGGCTTGCTCCTACTGAGGTGCCCTGGGGCAATCCCAATTCAAATACAGTTTAGTTCTCACAGTCTTGCCACTCCTGCAGCGAAACCCCTGGTTTCTCTCCAAAGAGAAACCAGCAGAGGGCTAGTCCAGCTGGGCTCCAGCTCAGTTCCCGGAGATTAAGACCTTTGCAGGTTCTGCTCATGTTGGCAGGCTGTACAAATGGGGAGGGGATTCTTGTGAGTTTTCTCTTTTCTTTTTGAAAGTATTTTTCCTCCCTGCTTGCCAAGATAAATCTCCCTTCCCAGCTGTGACATCTGCACTTCCCTTCTCTGCTTTCACTAAGGAATGAAGCCCCCTGCACTCCAGCTTCACAACTGAGGTTTCCTTTACATTTGAGAAAGAAGAGCCCATATGTTCTAGCCAGGCCTTTTGCCCTCTTAAAAATGTGGTGAATTTTAGTGCTCATGAAAGTCAGGGTCTGAGAACACTAACATGAGCCAGTCAACGAGGGCAAGACACTATGCAAGCTCTTCTTTCCCAGCTCAGTCAGTGCACCTCGATCCTGACCTTCAGCCCCTCCTGCCTTTGTAGACCTGGGTCCTGTCACAATTCATCCACAGGCCCTCAGTCCTGACCTGCCATCCTAATCCTGGTCTTTCCCCACACCACACCCCCAAGGTACATCAGTCCTCACCTCTGCTCCCTGCTACTCCATTCCTGGGCTTCTCACAGCTCTGCTCAGAGTACTGACCCACAGTCCTTCCCACTGTCCTAGTCCTGGATCTGTATAAAAAAAACAGCTGGAGTGCCTCAGTCTGATCAATCAGTGGACTACACTGCTGTGCCAGCCCCAGGGCCATTACAGAGCTCTGCAGTGCCATTCAGTCCTGAACGCAGCATCCCCTTGCTACTCTAGCATTCAGTCATCCCCATGAACCACCAGTAATGACTCGACACTCTGTGATCATTTTAAATGAAAACACTTCAGAGAAGAACACGAAGATCCCTAGGTTTGGATCTTCAGAAGATTAGGGGCTAAATGAACCCACTCTGCAGCCAGCGCCAGAGACTATCACTATGCTAGGTTTAATGTGGGAGGAAGAAGAGGAAGAAGTAAGGAACTTTCACATTATTAGAAACAGCACAGGGGACCCCTCCCTCACAGAACTGCGATGGATTATCTGCTCCTATCCAGGCCAGTGGTTCTCAGCCTTTTTAGACTGAAGACATCCTGCATTAGACTCGAGGCAGCCCTTGGAAAACCCCAGCTCTTCGTTTTCTCTTGTTTTTTGCTACAGAACAATACTAGAACAATTCTTCTATTGCAAAGCACTCAGAAAGACCACAACAGGTCAGCCAGTTTTCAACCCACCAGATTTCCTACTTGAAATCTCTGGGTTTCTCTTGTGAGTCAGTGTTAACACCATGTGGTACCCCGCAGCACCTTTGCAAGGATCTCAAGGCACCCCAGGGTGCTGCGCAGCCTGGTTGAGAATCACAGCTCCAGGCAAAGAGGTCTTTTGAGTCCCTTCAGATGGAAAGCGCCAAGTGCTGTCATGCATTGCCGGTGGCCCTCGTCCCTGATACTCAGCAGAGTCTCAGTGCATCTCGTGCATGGCACTGCAGAAATCGCCTTCCATAAAGCATCTGTGCTGATGCCTGGATTTACACTTCCCAATGCAAGGCGCCACATGTTTTCCTGAAGGTGAGGGAGGCTGGAGGTGATCCTGCAGGTGGTGAAAGCAGGTCGGGATACCAGGCAACCCTGACTTTCACAACATGGGCCACTGGGACCACTTTGCCTGATGTTGTCTCTTGTGGGCTAAGATCAAGTGGGGGCATCCAGATCCCAAGACTTCCAGGCTTGGGCTTGCATGTAGGATGCCTGCCAATGGATTTGGGAGTATCTGAAGTGCCAGGGGGATGCTCACTGGTTGCAGCGCCATATGCGGTGTTTAGAATGACTGAGTTCTGCCCGCTCAATCAATACGGTGTTTGGAACGATTGAGTTTTGCTCATTTGATATGATTTGGAACTGATTTGACCTGGAACACAAAATATATTATTAAAAAAAAAAGGGAGGGGGCGGCGGGGAGGGTGTCACTGGGACAAACTCAACGCCTCCTTTGGACCCTACACACCTACCAAGGGGCACATGCTATCAACTGACTCAAGTAGTTAGGGGGTCTAATAAGAGCCACGGAGCTTTGTCGACCCCCGAGCGGGGGGAGGCTGGACCCGCTGATCTGACGAGGTCCCTCCCAGCCCTGTGAATCTGTGACCGACGGAGTCGTTTGCTTTCAGAAGCGCTGGGGATCCCCCGCCCCAAACGCGTGGTGCGCTGTGGGGGCTCTGGGGCACTTCGCACGGGACAAGGCGGCGGCGAAATGCGGAGCCGCTTCCCCCGGCTCCCGCGGCGCGGCTGGTTGCCGGGGCAGAGAAGCGCAGGGCGC